GTGACGACCGCGTGACGGTCACAGCGCTACGGGCGCGGAGAGCAATGCCTCGCCGCACGGAGTAACGGGATGGCGGGCCGACGTGTCCTAGGTAACCCTGGGAAAAATAGTAAGTGGCAAGGTGGCATTAAGGTGGCAACTAGGTGGCGAGGTGGGCGAAGTGGCATGTAAGGGGCAAGGAAGTGGCAACGAGGTGGAATGCGGCCAAGTGGCATAGAGGTGGCAAGCAGGTGGACCTGGGTGGCATCAAAGTGGCATCGAGGAGCCAGCCCCAGGTGGATGTTAAGGGGCATCTAGGTGGTATTGTAAGTGGCAAATAGGAGGTTAGGTGGAAAGTAACTTAGAATAAGTGGCGAGCCGTCCTGCCAAACGCGGTCAATTGGCATGCAGAAATCCAAAAAAATCAAAAAAAAATCAAACAAAACAGCAGGAGAGAAATTATGAGAAGAACTATTGTGTATATAGAATATGTATAACTATATTTAAAAAAAAAGTTCATTTTTATAGTTTTAAATATATTAGCCATAAACCATGTTTATGTTTTGCTTTCAGCCCTGTAATAATTTTAGTCTTTGCATTGTTATTATGTTTTGTTTTAAAATGTTACTGCATTTGGTTGGTTTCTCTAAATGTTAGCCGTTCTGAGATCTTTTACCTTGGCAAAGCCGCTAACTTTTACGGAACTTAGTGGTGTTAAAATTGAGCTACTTTTGCATTGCTCACAGACATATAAACGGTTTTGCATGAATTCTTATAGTAAAAGATTGTTCTCTATTTGTCTTTATCTTCACCAAAGAAACATTTCATGATACTTATGTGTAAATTAGTAAAAATCCTATTGTTTCATGATAGATATTTTGAGTCGGATAAGTTTTTAGATTAGCCGCTGTAATAAATTAGAAGGCAGCTAGAATATGCTGCAAGCTTTAAAAGCAATCGGTCAGATCAAGGAGACTGGATTTAAAGAAAATGGTTGACAGAGTGAGCTCTTATTTGTTTCATTTTATAATGTCTCCTGAAACTGAAAACTTACTGAGTTGATAGATCATATTTGAAGCTTGCAATATACTGTTGCTACCTTCTTATATTTCAGTTTCTGATCTAATACCTCAATATATACAAAAGTATTATGAAATGATACGTGGGTCAGATAAAGACAGAGAGGAAACAATGCTTTACTATTGGAATTCATGCAAAACCATTTACAGATCCAGGAACAATACAAAGTGTAACATATTTAACATCACCAAGTTCCGTAAAAGCCAGCGGCTTTGGCAAGGTAATGGATTCTTGAACGGTTACTACTAAGAGATATGACACTCTATGACATGCCAACTAAATACTGAGACATTTACAACTGGAGTATAATAAATTTAGGACTCAAACATATAAGGGTAGAGAGGAATTACAAGTCAACAAGTCAAATAGTCAACAACTCACTTGTCTACTTTGGCCTGTGGGCTTGGGGATTGTGGCATATTATGGGCTAGTCCCAAGTTAAAAATATGGTGTGAAAATAATGCATAATGCATAAACATAGCGGCACCACACTAACATTTCAGTTGACGCCTCCTGAACGTTTGATCATAATCAACTTCAAAATCTATTATCTGAATTTCAAATTTGGCACAGAATTAGTGCTACCAACAGATATACTTAAAATTTTAACTTCAACTTTCCAGTAAAAGTTTAAAGTAACAAACATAGTGAATTTATTCACTTATTTCCGGGAAAAACAACTTGAACTTTCGTCTTCCATCTGAGGTTTTCTGTAGACTGAATTGACAATTAAAGTATTGAAGGTAGAAGGGTGGCTGTTTTGCGGTGTTCGTCAACTGTTGATGTCAACATAACCTCTAAAGGTAACACGAGTTAGTTTGAGCCGGTTTGTGGGCCTAGACTGTATGTGTGTCAATTTTTAAACTTTTCAATGTATTCATGTGAGAAACTACTGATTAATCAGTGTGGAGTCGTTAGCATAAGTGACGGAGTGCGAAATGCAGTTAAAATGTAGACGATTTGTGGACTTTTTAATCTCATGTAAGTATACTTTGTACATGCATCTCTTTCTCACCACCAAGTTCAAATGCTTGATTGTTATACTTAAATGTTTTCTTCTTTGCAGGATCGTGCGACCCTGGTATTTGTTTATACATTAACTCTTGTGGAAATCTCCCTGATTTATTCCTATTGAGAAATAAATGTGGACTAGTTAATGCCAGGTAAAATTTTCTTAACCCGTACATTATGTCTCACAATAACTTTCAGAACAGAACACCAATATTGAACTCTTTTTATTTTTGCAGGACTAAACTGGAGGTGAACATGCTATTATTGCCATGTACTAAAGTATCACTTACCCACCAAAACAATCTATTGGAGAATACTTTTCACAGGTAAGAACAGTTTTCAAACTGTAAACTGATCGTGGAACGGATATTGTTTGTTGAGTGTTTGGTTATTTCTTTTCATAATATCTCCATGCTATGCTAATACATTTATTTCTTTTCCAGGATTTGAGCAATACTGCAGTGTTTCAAAGAAGTTAATGAGAAGAGTGTGCGCAAGTCTATTTTCTACAGTTCTTGGCAAACGCAATTGTGCTATTGCATCATTAGAAAAATAAATATTGTTTACCGAACTCTTGCAGACAATTAAGTGATAACCTGTTTCGTTTTCACTTGCCATCAACGTTCTATATAAATTGCTCGTGAAACAGTTAGAATGCATAATTTGTGAGTGAATATGTAGTCAAAATTAACAAGTGAGTTTTAAAATGTGAATTAATGTCAAGTAAATATCAGTCAAAAGAGTACAGTCAATAACTAAATTTGATACATGACATAAATTTGTATTTTAAATCCCATCACTTGTTTTTGACTTAATATTTTCAATCTCACCACCGACACACCACCTAACTGCCACCCGGGCTCCCGGGCGTCACCCGGACGAACCACCTACTTGCCAGCTCGATGCCACCTAAACGTGCCACCTCGTGCGCTTAAGCGGCCAATTTCACTTAAATGCCACCTTGATGCCACCTCCTTCCCACTTGGCCCACCCCGTTGCCAGCTTGCTGCCACCTCGCCACCTAGTTGCCACCTCGTTGCCACTTGGGGCTGCCACTTCGCCACTTAAAAACCACCTCTTTTCCACCTTACTGCCACCTTGCCACTTACTATTTTTCCCAGGGAAGTGCAGTCCCCGCCCTGGACGCGGCGGGGAGGACGTGCCCGCCTCGGTGCCGGACGTGCCGGCACGTACGTGCCCACACGGAGGCCACCCGCG